CCCCCTAGTGGACCCCTGGGGGCCCCCGGGGGCCCCCTGGGGGCCCCCTAGTGGACCCCTGGGGGCCCCCGGGGGCCCTCTGGGGGCCCCCTAGTGGACCCCTGGGGGCCCCCGGGGGCCCCCTGGGGGCCCTGTGCCAGGGCACCCTTGCTAGGGGCCCCCCTGGGGGCCCCCTGCTAGGGGCCACCTGCAAGGGGCCCCGTTTTAGGGGGTCCCTGGGGGCCCCCCGGGGGCTGCTGCTAATAGGGGCCTCTTGCTAGGGGGCCCCCCGGGGCCCCTAATAGGGGCCCCCTTGTGGGGGCCCCCTGGGGGCCCCCTGAGGGGCCCCTGTTAGGGGCCTCTTGGGAGGGCGTAGGAATCCCCTGGAGGGTTCAGTTGGGTCACCTAGAAGGACTGCTGCTGCTGCTGCTGCTTTCTGCTGCTGCTCGTTTGCTGCACGCTACTACGCACTATCCCTGCTGCTGCTTGCTGCTGCTGCTGCTGCTGCTGCTGCTGCTTGCTGCTGCTCTTACTGAATGGCAAGGTGCACTTGTGGCTGGGTGTGTCTGCGTGCTGCTGAGCAGCAAAAGACAAAACAAAAATAAATAAATAAATAAAGAAATAAATAAATAAATAAATAATTTAAAAATGAAAATAATTATTTTGTTTTAAATAGTTTTGTCTTCAGGAAGCGAAAGCTCCAGAAGAGTCACCCCCAAGGTGAACATACACCTGAACAGCCCGAGGGGGAAAAGGGAATTGGCAGCAAAGAAGGTCAGGGGCCCCCAAGGGGGCCCCCCAGCAGCAGCAGCAGCAGCAGCAGCAGCAGCAGCAGCAGCAAAGGGCCCTGAGGGCAAGCCAGGGGCCCCCGCCAAGGGGAACCCGCAGGGGGCCCCCGAGGCCAAAGGCAGCAGCAGCAGCAGCAGCAGCAGCAGCAGCAGCAGCACAGGGAAAGCCCCGAAGGGTGGGGAGGCGGCGGAGGCCCCGAAAGGGGACAAGAAGCAAGCAGCAGCAGCAGCAGCAGCGCAGCAGCAGCAAACCAACTCAAGCAGCAGCAAAGCGCCTAAATCCACGGCCAAAGACAGTGCCAAGCAGCAGCAGCAGCAGCAGCAGCAGCAGCAGCAGCCCGAGGCGCGAAAGAGCCCTGCAGCAGGGACGAAGGAGACAGCAGCAGGAGCCAAGGAAGCAGCAGCAGCAGGAGCCAAAAAAGCAGCAGCAGCAGCAGCAGCAGCAGCAGCAGAGCCGGCAGAAACGAAGGCAGCTGCCAAAGCAGCAGCAGCAGCAAACTTCGTGAAGCCCCCAGCCCTCAAAGCCCCCCTAAAGATAGCAGCAGCAAAAAAGCAAAACGCAGCAGCAGCAAAAAGCATCAGTGAGGAGCCACAGAAGAGAAAGACAAATGTGGAAACCATAGCTAGCCAGCCCACACAGCTAGCTAGCTAGCTATTTAGCTAGCTAGCCAGGCCTAGACAGACAGCTAGCCAGCTAGCTAGCCCGTATATACCGCTAGGTAGCCCGTATAGACCGCTAGCTAGCCCATATAGACAGCTAGCTAGCTAGCCAATATGACAGCTAGCTAGCCCGTAAGGGCAGCTAGCCAGGCCCAGACAGACAGCTAGCTAGCTGCAGACAGCTGGCTAGCTGAGACAGGCAGCAAGCCGGCCCCCACATGGACAGCTCTCTCCAGCCCCAGCTAGCCACAGCCTGTGGCCAGCTAGCCAGCCCTACACAGCTAGCTAGCCACACCAAACTGCCAGCTAGCCACCCCAGCTAGCCAGTCCTATATAGCCAGCTAGCCACCCCAGCTAGCCAGCTCCAGCTAGCCAGCCCCAGCTAGCCAGTCCTATAGAGCCAGCTAGCCACCCCAGCTAGCCAGCCCCAGCTAGCCAGTCCTACATGGCCAGCTAGCCACCCCAGCTAGCCAGCCCCAGCTAGCCACCCAGCCCACCCGAATCTGACAGCTAGCCAGTTCTGCTGCAGCAGCTTTTCTTTTCCCTTTTCCTTCTCAAAAATATAAAGACACTTTCCCTTTCCTGCTGCCGTGCTTCTGCTGCAGTTCTCCCGGAGCCCCCCAGCTAGCTGCAGCTAGCCCAGCTAGCTGCAGCTAACCCAGCTAGCTGCAGCTAACCCAGCTAGCTGCAGCTAACCCAGCTAGCTGCAGCTAACCCAGCTCGCTGCAGCTAGCTCCAGCTAGCTGCAGCAAACCCAGCTAGCTGCAGCTAGCTGCAGCCGCTGCCGCAGGAGCTGAAGGCCTGACTGGTTTGTCTCAGCTTTTTTTTTAATTAAATTAAAAACAAAAAACAGAAAACAGCCGAAGAAGGCCTTTAAACGAGGCCACCCCATTAAGGCTTTATTTATCGCGTGGCACAAGCTGCTGCCAGACTGCAGCAGCAGCACAACAGCCCCTGCTGCTGCTGCTGCTGCAGGCCGGCAGCAGCAGCAGCAGCAGCGCAGCAGCCACGAACTCTACCTTTCCCTTTTAAAGAACTAAAAGACAGCCACAGCCTGTGGGCCTCAAGCCGCGGCGGCCCCGCCCGAACTGCAATGAAGCAGCAGCAGCAGCAGCAGCAGCAGCAGCAGCAACTGCTGCGCTGCCTGCTGCAGCTACACAGAGCCCCAACAGTACCTAAGAACTCTATAAGCCAGCCTTAGACAGAGCCGCAGCAAACAGCTGCAACGGACGCATCGGCAGCAGCAGCATCAGCTGCAGCAGCAACGGCTGCAGCAGCAACAGCTGCAGCAGCATCAGCAGCTTCAGCTGCAGCAGCAACAGCTGCAGCAGCAACAGCTGCAGCAGCAACAGCCGCAGCAGCAAAAGCTGCAGCAGCAACAGCAGCAACCGCGCCTCTCGTTATTCTCTGCCTTTCTCTTTCCCGGCCAATTGCGGAAGCAAAATAATTGCAAAAGAATTGCAAATAAATTGCAAAAGAATTGCAAATAAATTGCAAATAAATTGCAAATAAATAATTGCAAATAAATTGCAAATAAATAATTGCAAAAGAATTGCAATTAAATCAAATGACCCGGGACCCGAGCTGTCCATACACCTCAACACCGTAGCCTGCCCGCCCCGCCCCTCTCCAGCCCAAGCGCGCCAGCAGCAGCAGCAGCAGCAGCAGCAGCAGCAGCAGCAGCAGCAGCAACAGCAGCAGCAGCTCTACGTTTTGGACCCCTTTCTGGCCTCTTATCTGCTTCTCTGGGACTTTGTTTAAGCGAAAGCCAAGCAAAAGACACAAGAAGCAAAAGCAGCAGCACTGCAGCAGCAGCAGCACTACAGCAGCAGCAGCCAGCAGCCCTGCAGCAGCAGCAGCAGAATCCCTACAGCAGCAACAGCTCTGCGACAACAGCAGCAACCCTGCAGCAGCAAGAGCCCTGCAGCAGCAGCCCAGCAACAGCAGCCCCCAGCAGCAGCAGCAGCCGTAGCAGCCCTGCAGCAGCAGCAGCAGCCCCCCAGCAGCAGCAGCAGCAGCAGCAGCAGCAGCAAGATCCTCTTCCGCAGCAGCAGCAGCACTTCTCTCTCCGCTGCAGCCGTTGGGTTTTGAAAATTAAACCGGAAATGAAATTTCTCGGAGAGCAGCAAAAGCCGAAAAGCCAGTTAGTGCAGCAAGGCGAAAGCTCTGGGATCCGATCCCCGAAGCGATCCCGGGACGATCCCGGACCCCACAACCCCACAGGGGGCTTTATTTCTACTCCAAGAGTTCCCTTAAAACCACAAAAGCAGAACTGAGCAAAGAAATCTGCAAGAACGAGGTGTACGTACACCCCAACCCTCCAGTGTACATACACCCCAACTCAGCCACAAAGTCAAGTCCAAAGTCCAGCTGCCAGCAGCTGTCTGTACACCTCAACGCAGTCTTAACCCAGCTGTCTGTACACCGCAGCTCCAGTGCGAAACCTTCAGGTGTACGTACACCGCAGCTCCTGTTCGAAACCTTCAGGTGTACGTACACCTCAGCTCCAATGCACTTCAAACCGCCCGGGTGTACGTACACCTCAGCTTCATCTGAAACGCTCAGGTGTACGTACACCTCAGCTTCATCTGAAACGCTCAGGTGTACGTACACCTCAGCTCCATCTGAAACACTCAGGTGTATGTACACCTCAGTTTCACCTGAAACGCTCAGGTGTATGTACACCGCAGCTCAATCGGAACGAAACCTCCCAGGTGTCTGTACACCTCAACTTCAATCGCAAGCACTCCCAGGTGTCTGTACACCTCAACTCCAACCAGTCCCCGGTGTCTGTACACCTCAACTTCAAACTCAACCACTCCCAGGTGTCTGTACACCTCAACTTCAGCCAGAAACCGATTCCAGGTGTCTGTACACCTCAACTTCAAGCTGCAACCAGGTGTCTGTACACCTCAACTGCAACCAGGTGTCTGTACACCTCAGCTGCAACCAGGTGTCTGTACACCTCAGCTTCTGCAACAACCCTCCCAGGTGTCTGTACACCTCAGCTTCTGCAACCAACCCTCCCAGCTGTCTGTACACCTCAATTTGCCAGCTGTTTGTACACCTCAGCTGCATCAACACTCCCAGGTGTCTGTACACCTCAACTTGAACCAGTCCCAGCTGCCTGTACACCTCAACTCCAACCCTGCAGCTGCCTGTACACCTCAACTCCAACCCTTCAGGTGTCTGTACACCTCAACTCCAACCCGGGGGCCCCCGGGGGGCCCCTGGCTGCTGGAGAAGCAGCGGACGTGGCAGCCCGTGACTTCGCTGATGCGGTCCAGGGCATTGGGGCCCCCCGGCTGGGGGCCCCCCCCGGGGCCCCCGGGGCCCCCGGGGCCCCCGGGGGCCCCGTAGCGGCCGGGGGGGGGCCCCCGCCGCAGCAGCACTTCCCCCTGTTCTGGAGACAGCAGCAACTTGACGGACTGTCTCTCGCTGAGGGCCCCCAAGTCCTGGACGGGGCCCACTCTGCAGCAGAAGTCTTTTAAATAAGCTTCCAGCTGTTCTGCTGAGGGGCCCCCCGCGTCGTGGGGCCCCTGGGGCCCCCAGGCGCCCGCAGCAGCAGCAGCAGCAGCAGCAGCGTCGTCGGGGCCCCACGGGCGCGTCGCGGCGCCCAGCTGGGGCCCCTGGGGGCCCCCCCAGGGCGCAGCAGCAGCAGCAGCAGCAGCAGCAGCAGCGGGGGAGGCGCCGTCGTAGTAGGGCGCATACTGCTGCTGCTGCTGCTGCTGCTGCTGCTGCTGCAGCAGCAGCGGGGGGCCCCCCACCGGCGGCGGCAGCTGCAGCTTGCTGGTGTCGTACCCTTGCTGCTGCAGGTCTGCTGCCAAAGACCCCACACAGATCAGGGGGGCCCCCCCCCGGGCCAGTTCAGGGTACTCCACTCCGAGGATTCTTTGCCAAATTAATCCCAAGGCCACAATCCTGGAGACTGTGGGGCCCTCCACAGATATTATCCGGTGCTGCTCCCGCGGGCTCAGCCGCTGCTGCTGCTGCTGCTGCTGCTGCTGCTGCTGGTCGCCCCACTCGCCGGGGGCCCCCGGGGGGCCCCCGGGGGCCCCCGGGGGGCCCCCGGAGCCCTTGGAGATCTGGATGAGGGCCCCCGACTTCTGCTGCATCTCCCGAATGATGCTGCCCTTAGTCCCAATCAAAGGACTCACAAACCTGAAGGGAATCAGCAGCCGCAGCGGCTGCTGCTGCTGCTGCAGCTTCTCCTGCAGCGGCAGCCCCAGCCGCAGCACAGCCCCACACACCGCAGGCACCGGCCCCGATATCATGCAGAACCGATCCCCAGCCTCCCCCCCCTCGGGGCCCCCGCCGGGGCCCCCC